CCTCCACCCGCCACCTCCACCCCCCCACCCCCTGACTTGAGCTTCTCTGGACACATTAAGTAACTAAATCAGCATTTTATCACCTTCATCAAATATCAAGAGTCAGAGGTCTCATGTCCAGACTAGACTTAGAGAAACGTATTCATGCTTGTCGGTTAGTGAAACCTCCTCTGAACTGTCATTCAGTTTGGTTACCTTGGCAACGCATATGTTCAGGGAGTAGAGGAGGGGAGGTATTATTTGTTCCTGTATTCAAAAATTTAATATGGACTGGAATCGAATTCATGCGGTTTGTCTGTCGCTCCACAGAGGGTTCCGAATCACGGCATAGACCCAAAAGGATCTCCTTCAGGACTCAGTACGCTCACAAACGACGCGTTCCTTCGGGAGTGAACGCTCTGCCAAATCCTCCAATAACACAAGATCAGCTATGCTACGATGTCAAACTCGCGTCATTCACATGTGTCTTTTATTGGCTTTAACACCACTTATGCGACAAAGCTGTTTTCCCACAAACATAATTATTTATTGGTTTAAAACATTTTCTGGATGAGGAACACACGTGGACGACTCAGACCTTCAGTATTGCGGCTTCCCCGTTCTACCACTAGATGCTGTTTGTACACATGAAAGCTGTTCTTGTAGCCTATTTAGGAACATTTCTAAACTCAAGTAAAAAAATGGTTGCGTAGAATTGTTCCAACACACAAAATACACATAAATCTGTTTGTAAGTATGGTTAATGAATGAGGGCCCTGGATTTGCTGGATCTTTCTTCAGCAATTGGCACCATTGACCATCGTGTAATTAGCTGTGAGTGGATGGGACTGTGATGCACTGGTTTTTATTTGGGCTGTTTCCTCATCATTTTCAAGATTATTTGTATCCCGCAAGGTGAGATCTTGCATGGAGCCCCATTTTGAGGGAGATTGTCAGTGATCTTGGATTTATTCCATTTTCTAACAATTGCTCCAACTCCCTTCTCATCGAGCTGCTTGCATATTATAGATAGCCTCATCCCAGCCTAGTGCAGGTGTACAATCCTGTCCCTGGTGTCCTTGGACAGCTCTTTGGTCAAGGCCATGGTGGAGGTTGGAGTCATGTGTCGTTCGCACAGATAACGAGTTCATACATGTTCTATTCTTACAGATTTCAAGAGAAGGATAGAAGAGCTTCTTAAAGATGAAGTTTGTGAGGGCCAGAAATCTGGCTTGTTTGTGGTGCTGAATCATTATTTTCTGCACCATTACACAACCAAGTTCTTTAAAAATCATACTACGTGATTTTCTGTATATTTTCACAGTTGAAGTGAACCTATGATGAGTATAACAGAGCTGTCTCGCCGTTTTAAGTGGGACAACTTGCACAGTCGATGGCTGCTAAATTCTTTTTGCCCCACTGCATCTAGGACTTTGGCTCGCAATCTAAATGTCACAAACATGACCATTGGTCATTTAAACTCTTCTCTCGACAAAAGCTGGTGTGTGTGTGGTGTTTCCTAATATACTGTTGAAATTAGAGTCCAACTGTGGTGCTCTAAAACTCTGCCAAACAAGAAAAATGTATTTTTGTAATGAAGGAGGTGTAGCGACTTTATAAAACATAATAGGCTGTTTCCAGAGTTGAGATCAGGCCCTGCTTTTACGGCTCCTACAGGAGGTGTAGGCTGTGTCAGACACACGACAAGGCACAGTTGGTTACATTTTCCGGCAAATGTTTTATAAAATTAAACCTTGTTTAGGGTTTTAGAGAGCTGAATTAGATTAAAGGACTTTGTCTCAGTCAAGAGCTCTTGGAGGACTCTTGTAAAATGGTTAATTCAAGCGGTAAAAGAAAAAATTGAACTGAGTTGTTATAAAATCTTTCATTTCTGCAAAGGAGAAAAAACTACTGCACAAACGATTAACCAGACATATAGCTTTGTTTTAAATGGGTATTTTACATCTTTATTTTGCTCACAGACATTTGACCAAATGCACCTGAACAAAACTGCAGGGCTGGGCAGAGTTTTCTACCATGGAAATCAAGCTAACGTGCAGTCATAAGGAGCTTGTTTTGCCAGTTTATCACTAAAAATCTGACCACATCCTTTGATGTTTTTTCAAGGTAATTAACCCTCTGGAGGCAGGCGTGGCAGATTTGCAGCATGAAAACCTACCTACCTGGTTACTCCACATTCGTATTTCATGAGCATTTTTTAACTCAGAAGTACCGCTGAAGGACTTAGTTGTTCGTCCTTTTATCAAAACTCATTTTGAGCCTGAGAGGGTTGACCTACATTTCCAGCCGTAAACATTTCCAGCAGTAAACAAGAAGGAGCCACTTCCTGTCCTCTGTTTCCAACCTATAGTGTACAGCACGCCCACAGAACAGAAAAACAAAAGTTAGAAAACTCCACCGTAAATAATCAGAAGATATGGCGAAACAATGGGTCAATAAACGCAGATACACTCTGCTGAAACATCTGTCTGCAACAAGGACGACTGAACCTGGGTAGATAACTGTACACATATGTTCCTCTAGCAACATCTATATTTTGTTAGCTGCTCTGTGATGTAATCCAAAACATTCACGTACCACGGGATATACCACGGGATTTTGTTCTGGAACACAAGTCGAGTGGAAAAACATTTTACAGAAGAGATACCTGCTGGGACACAGACATGAGTGTATACATGGTCATGGGTATGTTTCAGTTTATTTTTAAGACGTGTTTGACCTTTTCTCTGTTGTTGATCTTCCCATGCCTTCTTGCTGTTTGTGCAGATATCTTACACGTGTGTGTGTGTGTGTGTGTGTGTGTGTGTGTGTGTGTGTGTGTGTGTGTGTGTGTGTGTGTGTGTGTGTGTGTGTGTGTGTGTGTGTGTGTGTTTTCTTGTACATACTACATACTGAGGACCATTTTGACCATTTTCCCTACAAAATGAGGACATTTCTGTGGTCCTCACTTTTTTTTAGAAGCTTACCAGTTGGTTTTAGAGGTAAGGTGTGAATTAAGTTTTAGTTCAGGTTAGGGTTAGGAATAGATCAACAGCAGTTATGGTTAGGGTACGGGTTAGGCATAGTGGAGTCACAAAAAAGAATGGAAATCAATGGAGGGTCCTCACAATGATAGAAAGGCAGGTGTGTGTGTGCGTGCGTGCGTGCGTGTGTGTGTGTGCGTGCGTGCGTGTGTGTGTGTGTGTGTGTGTGTGTGTGTGTGCTGCACAGGTCTTGTGACACATGGCCTCAGACAGAGTATGTCTGGAGGGAAGGAGAGTCTTCTATGGGTGGGACTGAAAGCAAGTGATGCATGACTAAGAGGCCCAGGAAGTTCCAGCAGGCGGCTATTTGTGTGTGCGTGCGTGCGTGCATGCGTGCGTGCGTGCGTGTGTGTGTGTGTGTGTGTGAGAGAGAGAGAGAGAGAGAGAGAGAGAGAGAGAGATTTGGGGTCTGGGGGGACTGTGTGGGGCAATATAGTCGGGAAAAACTCAGTAGAGTGGCAAAAGCAGCAGCGTCCCTTGAAGCACATCTGTCTGCTGCCTTGACAGCAGCTTTGCTCCCTTTTAACGTGTCACCAAAATTGAATTATAAGAACTATGTCTCAAAAACTGAAAACAGTGCTTATAAACAATACCAAATCCAGTTTAACATTGGTTAAAATCACATCCTGTGGAAGGTTTTGTTTAGTTTCCTGAACCTTATTCAGCTTCTTTCTGACTGAGAGTCACTCCTCAAAGAGCATTGCTACAATGAGCCTTCGACAGCGGTGGCTATGACGCACAGAGTGCAGGGAAACAAAAGCTTACCTCAGCCAGGCAGACATAGCAAACATCAGCGCTATCAGACCCTCTCTAATCTCATCCCATGGGACAGACGCATCTTTCCAGCTCCCACATGGCCAGATCAGACACAACACCGGCAAAGGGAGCATGTTAGACCTTAACTGGGTTACACTGTAAACTTTGCTGAGTTGATAAAGGCAACAAGAAACAAGAATATTATGTTTTCTAGTAAATAAATTCAGAAGACAATTTCCTTTCATGCGTACAGGGTTTTGAGGTACGTCACAAATCTGTGACTGATATTTTTGTACATTTTTTGGGGAATATTTTCTCTTTAGGCCAGTTGGTTTCTAATCACTTCAGCATAAAAATTCAGGACAATTTTGTGACATTTTCAAGCTGTTTTGTTTAGGCAAATGTCACAGCATCTGAATATTTATTTTCTTACATTTAGAAAAACGGTAAAAAATAATAATAATAATAATGTTGCCACCAAACAACAAGCTCACACACTAATATTTTCTTGGACTGCCTTTAGCTTTGACTACATCACACATTCACTGTGACATTGTTTTGGTAAGCTTCTGCAGTGTCACAAGATTTATTTCCATCTGTGTTACATTAGTTTGTCACCAAGACCTTGCATTGATGATAATAATAATAATGGATTGAATTTACATAACACATTTCCAGACACTTAAGGTGCTTTCCATCATTTACAAACACTCACATTCACACACCATACCAGTGATGATAAGCTACAGTGTCGCCACAGCCACCCTGGGGCAGTCTGATGGAGACGAGGCTGCCATTGGCTCCTCTGACCACCACCAACAGGCAAGTTGAGGGAACTGTTTTGCCTAAGAACACAACAGCAGAATGCCTCTGGTGAGAGCTGGGATCGATCCCACAGTCCTTTGATTGTGTGGCAACCCGCTCTACCTCCTGAGCTACTGCTGCCCCCTTGATGATAGTCTGACCGCTGCAGAAAGCCTTCTCCAGCACATCCCAAACATTTGAAATGAGGTTAAGGTCTGGACTCTGTGGTGGCCAATCCACGTGTGAAAATGATGCCTCATGCTCCCTGAACCACTCTGAATGAATTCTGACATGTCATCTTGGAATATGCCCGTGCCATCAGGGAAGATGGAATAACCTGGTCATTCAGTATATTCAGGTAGTGTCATGCTGGGTTGAAGTCTTTTGACCCACGACATGCAGAATCACACACAGGCAGAAGGTGAGTAAAATTATTTATTAAAGTTGGATGAGTGATGCAGATGTTGAATGGGATTCGGGAGGTTCTGATGAAGTTCTGCAGCAGAAAACCAGAGTGAGTAGTTGCAGGACAACGGGCATAAAGGTAATGAGATTTTGTCTTACGGTTTCCAGTTAGTTAGAGAGAGTTTTGAGAGGAGGGCACGTCAGGGCTGGCTGAGTTGGTCGGGCGAGAGGCAGAGGAAATGGCTGGGAGCTGAGCACCGGAGTCCAGGTTGTACTGATGGCAGGTGGGGGTTGGAGAGCAGGCGGTCAGGGGCGAGTGACGGGCTGGTGAGCAGGATGATCCGGTGAGTTTCTTGCTTGGTGGTGGAAGTTGGCAGATGAATGGAAGGTACCTGAGGAGGTCAAAGGTAACAGGGCAGATTAACTTGATCGAAGCGAGGTAAACAGGAAATACAAGACAGGCAAGGTTCTGGTGAGAATACTACCCAATACTGAGTAATCATCCAGCGCTGATGTGTTGTCCCAACACTCCTTAAATCCCCTGACCACTGATGAGGAGATCAACAACAGCTGCTCTCCGGACACACCCACCTGCACACAGAGAAACTCAAACAGGTGTTAGCTCAGCACAGACCATGACAGGTAGTCAGCTGACCTCATTCATGTAGCAAATCCTGTTGCTGAACCTAGACCTGACCAACTGTAGCAACCCCAGATCATAGCACTGCCACCACAGGCTTGCACAGTAGGCACTAGGCATGATGGGTGCATCACTTCATCTGCCTCTCTTCTTACCCTGATGCACTATCACTCTGGAACAGTGTCCATCTGGACTCATCAGACCAGTTTTTAATAATGCGTTGGACAGTTCTTAACCCAATTTTATTCGTTTCTGCAATCTCCTTAGATGTTTTCTCTGCTTGATGCATACCAATGATCTGACCTTTCTCTAACAGACTAATGTCTTTTCCACAACCACCAGATGTGACTTTCCACATGGTTGTTTCAGAAATGAGAAGCAACTCATTGCACCAGTTTGAGTTAAATAACTTGTTACTGTCATGTTCTGTGGTAAAAGTTTAACCCAGGACATGCAGAATCAGTACACGGAAGCTGGTGGTAGGAATAATAATGATTTATTTAGAAAAGATGATTCCAGGAGTAACTGGTAAACAGCGAATGAGTGACGGGAGCAGCGTCTGAGGGGGAGAGGAGCAGATGTGAGGTTTTGATAAGGTAATATGGTACAGGATGTGCTTGAGAGGAGGACTTACGGGTCAAGTGTGGTGAAGTTTGTCCGGGGAGGGGTGAGCTGGGAGAGCGAGCGGATATCCAGGGTTGAAGCAGATCGACGGGGTTCCAACTGGAGGTGATGTGAGAGAGAGAGCAGGTTTGCCAGGAGCAAGTCGAGCCGTTAGGAGGACGGGGAGTCGAGAGGTGAATCCAGAGGCTGTATGGTCGGGCAGTTGTATATCCAAAGTGTCACGCAGAGATCCGGTGTATCGAGAGGGATGACTGAGCCTACAGCACGAGGGGATAAACAAGAACAAAGTCTAAGCACAAAAATCGTAGTAAATCTAAGTTTCAAAAATCTAGAGTTCTGTAGAGTCACAGAGGCTGGAATTTCTACCAGTGAGGCGTAATCATCCGGCAGTTTAGCAGTGTCCTCCGTCCTCCTTATGAAGGCCACCTGCTGATGAGCTGATTGACCACAGCTGCTGCTCTCTCTCCTGAAATCAGAGAAGCTCCCAAAAAAAACAGGTGACGTAATGGTGTATGTAGAGTGCTCACCTCCCAGCTCACAACAGTTACCAGCTGAAAGATAATTGCTCGTGCGGTAATTGTCCAATAGGAGGCTCCTACCTATGTTCTTAAATCCAGGTGGCAAATGATTTTTTTTGGGGGGGGGTTATAAAACAGATGGGTGATGGAGAGGTTAGCAACCTCACCAAAAGAGGGGATCTGGTACAAAGAAAGCCTTCTTGAAAATTAAGAAAAAGAAGACATGACAAAAATAAACTATTCAAGAAAATATATTAACTATTTTGACGACATCTTGGTGTCAGAACACCAAGCAGCAAGGAGCAAGAACGGGGAACTGCTGAAGAATAAGGAAGCCAGACTAATGAGGTGGAAGGAACACTTTAAAGCCCCATTCCCACCTGTACCGGGTCGGCCCGGGCCGGGTAGCGTAGGTTGTTTACATATCTGGGTGGCCTGGAATTTTCCCGGGTCAACCAAGGCTCATTCTCGGCCCTCTTCCCGAGGGGTACTGCTTCAGGCCGACCAGGGCCAACACACCCACTGCTGACAAGAAATTCACACCTTCCATTAGAGCAAGCCTCTGATTGGTGGGTAGAGTCAGCCCATTCACACCTTCCATTAGAGCAAGCCTCTGATTGGTGGGTAGAATCAGCCCACATGGGCTTAAGACAAGGATGTGTGGAAACAACCGGGCCAGACTGGGGCCGACTGGGGCTACCCGGCCCGGGCCGACCCGGTACAGATGGGAATGGGGCTTAAGGAAGTGCTCAACAGGGAGCAACCAGAAGAACCACCACAAAAGGAGGAGGAGGAACAGGATGAGATGGATATTCCAACTAAAGCTCCAACAATGGAAGAGATCAAGAATACATTGAAGGCCCTTAAAAACAGAAAAGCCCCTGGTATAGACCAAATTTCAGCTGAAATGTTGAAAGTAGACATTGAACGAACCAGCTTAGAGTTAAAACGAATCCTTGACATCATTTGGGCAAAAGAAATAGTACCAACCCAATGGACCAAAGGGCTCATCTGCAAAATCCCTAAGAAAGGCAACCTTCAGGAATGTGGGAACTGGAGAGGAGTTACGCTGTTGCCTTTGGCCAGCAAGGTGCTTAGTAAGATCTTGATCAACAGAATTCAAACAGGAGTTGATCCATAACTGAGGAAAGAACAAGCTGGCTTTAGGAAAGGAAGAGGAGCTGTAGACCAGATATTCATTCTTAGGAATATCTTGGAACAGGTCAATGAATGGAACGCAACATTGTACATCCACTTCGTTGACTTTGAAAAGGCATTCAACTCCGTTCATCGAGAAAGCCTTTGGACTATCATGCGCCAATATGGAATTCCCCCTAAGCTGATTCAAATGGTCAAGATCCTGTACGCCGACTTTCAGTGCGCCGTCTTTGATGAAAATGAAATAACAGACTGGTTTCCAGTGACAACTGGAGTGAAACAAGGGTGCTGTATGTCAGGATTTTTGTTCCTACTGGTGATAGA